GGGGAGGCCGGGGGGGGTGAGGAGGGGGGGGATCACTGGGAACTAATCGATAAGACACATCCTGCTAAGACTGTGTCCTCATGAGTCCTGTGTACATACACACCTACACACAGCGTAGGTCAACAGTGTGAGTTTGATTTCACTTCCTGTCGTCCCTTCAGAATAAAGTGTGAAAAAACAGAAACAAAAAAAAGACGTAAAGACTGGAGACGTGTCCCTGGGCGCACGTGCACGTGCATGTGCACGACTCTGCTGCAGATGTTAGTGTGTGTGTGTGTGTGTGTGTGTGTGTGTGTGTGAGCAGCATTAGGATGTGTTGACGCACTGCAGTCTGGTGGTATAGTGCCTGTTATGGAGAAAGTGAGAGGCTCATTAAAAATGTATGGAGTCCAGACATCAGGCAGCGACGAACAGTCGTCCCCGGAGACGGCTGTGTGTGTGTGTGTGTGTGTGTGTGTGTTCAGGTCATATACATTAGTGTGAATTATTGAGAATTTATTTCATGGATATTTACTTTATTTTTAAATCTGTTCTTCTTTTAAAAAAAATATATTTTTTTTCAGATTGTTCAGAATCTTTATTTGCGTCTCTTTCTGGTCACCGTGAACCACAGCTTTGATTCACAGCTTTGACTGAGGAAAAACATGACAACCTGAGTGGTGACTGAGGAAAAACATGACAACCTGAGACCAAGATATAGGTGGCGCTCCATTATATTCAGTTGTATAATTATAAATTAATTATGTGACTATGGTAAAAAAAAAAAGTGGTTCTGTAGTGTAGCGGTTATCACAACTGCCTTACAATTCTGTCTTACATGCAGAACGTCCTGGGTTTGAGTCCCAGTGGAACCATGTACTGGATCCTCCTCGTGAAAAGTCACTTTGGATGAAAACAGCTGTAAAATACAGAAATACAGAAAATATAAATATATAAATAAATTGTGTTTACAAAACGGGCCTTCCGTGGGGACCCAGAATTCCTAGCAGCGCCCCTGGATACATGGTTTTAATTCAATATTATAACTGTTAAAACAAACACTCGAAACGTCGGGTTTGTATTTTCTTTTTTTTTTATTTTCTAACTTAAACATCTGCCATTTATTTAATAAAAAAAATGTTACAGTATTTTGCAGAATATAAGTCACTCTGGAGTATAAGTCGCACGAGCCAGCTATAGTGCCCTCTAGAGGCTGTCAGTGTGAGAATAACAAACGTTAAATTATATATTTTAGTGGCAAACCCAGCCAAAGGATGAAAAAAAGTCCGGAAAATATGGTAATAAGATTCACGAACTATTTTTGTATCGCTTGCAGTACCTCTGCGTGCCCTCTAGGAGTCGCAAAAACCTCCTTTTTAGATTGTTTTTTTTTTTCATTTTTCCGGAAAATACGGTAATCAGATTCACGAACTATTTTTTTTAACACTTGCAGTACCTCTGCGCGCCCTCTAGGAGTCGCAAAAACCTCCTTTTTAGACTGTTTTTTTTTTCATTTTTTTGTGCTGTGACTAGAACAGAGACTCGTCATCGTTTGTCAGTGTCCAGAAACAGAAACAGAAATACAGACGCGGACGTTGAAGACGGTACACGGCTGCCTTACAAGTCTGCAGAATATAAGTCACTCTGGAGTTTAAGTCGCACAAGCCAGCTGTAGTGCCCTCTAGAGGCTGTCAGTGTGAGAATAACAAACATGAAATAACATATTTTAGTGGCATATTATAGTCCGTAAAATACGGTAATTAGATTCACAAACTATTTTTTGTTTCACTTGCAGTACCTCTGTGCGCCCTCTAGGAGTCGCAAACCTCCTTTTTAGACTGTTTTTTTTTTTTTTTTTATGCTGTGACTAGAACAGAGACTTGTCATCGAGTGTCAGTGTCCAGAAACAGAAACAGAAACGTTGAAGACGGTGCACGGATCACGGCTCTTCTGTCTGAGGTGGAGCCTCTCGGACACGGAGCCTCTCGGCTCCGTCTTCCCGACGTTCCTGCTCTGCTGATCCTTCATTACAGCAGCGGCTCAGCTCCGACACGGCCGACTGCACAGCCTTTCAGTCCACGTCAGTGTCAGTCGTACATCCACGACGGCTGACGGACAGGAGCGTGTGTGTGTGTGCGTGTGTGTGTGTGTGTGTGTTGTGGCAGTTATACTCCATGTACCACTGTGTATGTGAAGCCAGTACTCAGTATTTGTTTACATTGTTGGTTAAATACTGTCTTATCCAACTAGGGGTGTGCGGACCCTGAGTGGTACGTGAGGTTTTTTAATCCTAATGGACAGAGAATGTACTGCAGTCAAATGTCACGAAACAAATGTGGAAGATATTTGTAGTATCTAGTATATATTAGTAGTATCTAGTATGTAGTAGTAGACAGTCAACATAAGGGACTTATTTTGTAGTGTTTGAGTACTTGTTACTTTATATTTTTTTGAGGTAAATGTTCTGTTTTTATTCATGACAGACAGATTTTTTATTGATTTTTTTATTATAATTTCAATTTGAAAACTACAAAAAAAAACGTTTTTAAAACGCAGTAACTACAGTTTTATATTAGTGTTAGGGTTGTTATCAGACCATAAATTACTTACATTTTTG